GTCTCAATCTCCTGACCTCGTGATCCACCCGTCTCGGCCTCCCAAAGTGCTGGGATTACAGGCTTGAGCCACCGTGCCCAGCCATGAATTTTTTTCTTTAGAAATTTTATTTTACTTTTTTTTTTCAAGACAGAGTCTTGCAGTGTTTTCCAGGCTGGAGTGCAGTGGCGTGATCTCTCACTGCAACCTCTGCCTCCTGGGTTCAAGCGATTTTCCTGACTTGGCCTCCTGAGTAACTGGGACTACAGGCATACACCACCACGCCCAGCTAATTTTTGTATTTTTAGTAGTGACGGGATTTCACCATGCTAGCCAGGCTGGTCTCGAACTCCTAATCTCAGGTGATCCGCCTGCCTCAGCCTCCCTTAGTTCTGGGATTACAGGCCTGAGCCACCGTGCCTGGCCTCTTTTGAAATTTAAAAATCTCGGCTACTCTGGGCATACTGCCTGTGGGGTAGCCCTGCTCTCCAAGGACCATTACAAAAAAATATATAGATATTTAGTATATAATTTCCCATATTCAGTTTGTTGAAAGAAATTACATTATTAGCCGGATACGGTGGCTCACGACCGTAATCCCAGCACTTTGGGAGTCCAAGGCAGGCAGATCACCTGAGGTCAGGAGTTCGAGACCAGCTTGGCCAATATGGTGAAACCCCATCTCTACTAAAACAACAAAATTAGGCGGGTGTGGTGGTGCATCCCTGTAGTCCTAGCTACTCGGTAGGCTGAGGCAGGAGAATCGCTTGCACCCGGGAAGTGGAGGTTGCAGTGAGCAGAGATAATGCCATTGCACTCCAGCCTGGGTGACAAGCACAAAACTCCATATCAAAAAAAAAAAAAAAAAATTACATTATTAGATTTTTTATTTTTATTTTCATTTTTATTTATTTGTTTTTTTGGAGACAGAGTTTCGCTCTTGTTTCCCAGGCTGGAATGCAATGGCATGATCTCGGCTTACTGCAACCTCCGCCTCCGAGGTTCAAGTGATTCTTCTGCCTCAGCCTCCCAAGTAGCTGGGATTACAGGCATGTGCCACCACGCCTGAGTAACTTTTTGTATCATTATTGGATTTTGTAAGCAAATTTTTCAAATGTTTGCTGTGAAGCTACTTTGTAAATTTATTTTCCTTTGACAAATGGTGACTGACTGGATTTACCCTCATTTTAGCCTTTTTTAATAAGGGTTAAACTATTTCAGATATTTGGTTTAGATTTCTTTAACTCACAGGATCTATGGCTTGACAAATTTTAATGCCCAGTCTTGCATAGCTTGTTGTAACTTGGTGCTTGAAGAAAATGTTTACTCTTTTCATTTCCTTTTTTTTTTTTTTTTTCCTTCTTTTTTTATCTTCTTTTCCAAGGGTTGGCATTCTGGGGACCTAGAGCTAGTTCCTGCAGCATGTGAAGGGGAGAGTAGGGTTTTGTCAGATCCTCCACAGGGGGGAAAAGCTAGTGTCTCTTCCCTTGAGGTATAGTTCTTCCAGTCTGATGAACTGTCAGATCCACTGAGTGATTGGTAAAGCAGATTGGACAGTGACTCGAGGAAGTGGGGGTGGGGACAATATTTTAAGTAGTAACTATCAAAAGTAAAGTGATTCTCTGGGGGCTCAGTAGAGCCATGTATGCTTCTAGCGTTAGCAGTCTGCAGGAATTGTGCAGAGTGTGGTGGTGGTTTCTAAGAGGAAAAGGAGGATGAGTGTGAGAGTGATGAGAGGTGAGTTGGGATGGATTGTAACGCACCAAGAGAAGGGAGCATAAATGTTGGTTTGAGTTTTGGGCAACGAAACTTGCTTAATCCTGATGGCTCTTAATCACAATGTCAGCCCTAAAGTTTCATATTCACAGTTGAGAACTTTTAATTGAATGATTATTTTTTATAGAGTCTTTTACCCTGTTTTGATTTAGAAGTTAAAGAAAGCAGATTTTTATATTGTACGTAATTATAGTTTGGGCTTCCTTGGAAACAGAATCCTGCTGCAAATCTTACATGACTGATTTCTGGACCCAAAGTGGGTTTGACAGTGGGCTAGAGCAGTAATAGCCCACCTACTGTCGGGAGAGGCCAGGGCAGGCATTTCCCAGCAAGCCTGCCTGAAGTGGGTCTTGTCCTAGACTCTAGGACCTAGATCATGCAGGAAAAGTCCCCTGTTTGTGGGAGCTGGAAAAGAGTTGGCTTCATCAGCAAAGTGACCTACCAACAGGAAAGGTGGGGGTCTGGAGAAGCAGATTTAAAATGTTGAAAGCTGTGTTTCTTTAACAAATACCTATTAAGCACCTACCGCCTATGTGAGATACTGCTCTAGTCTGTGTAGGAAACCACAGAAGTGTGCTTCTGCTTTTAAGGAGCTTATGTTTTACACTGACCTTTGGCAGAGTCACATATGAAAATGGATATTGGGCTGGGCGCGGTGGCTCACGCCTATAATCCCAACACTTTGGGAGGCCAGGGCGGGCAGATCACAAAGTCAGGAGTTTGAGACCAGCCTGGCCAACATAGTGAAACCCTGTCTCTACTAAAAAATACAAAAAATTAGCTGGACGTGGTGGCGGGCGCCTGTAATCCCAGCTATTTGGGAAGCTGAGGCGGGAGAATAGTTTGAACCCAGGAGGCAGAGGTTGCAGTGAGCCAAGATTGCGCCACTACACTCCAGCCCAGGCAACAGAGCAAGACTCCGTCTCAAAAGAAAAAGAAAAAAAAAAGGATATTAAATTTTGTGACTGTCATTCACATGGGCCCTGAACTAATTTTTTTTTTTTTTTTGCAACAGAGTTTCACTCTTGTTGCCCAGGCTGGAGCGCAATGGTGCGATCTCAACTCACCGCAACCTCCGCCTCCCAGGTTCAAGCGATTCTCCTGCCTCAGCCTCCAGGGTAGCTAGATTACAGGCATGTGCCACCACACCCGGCCAATTTTGTATTTTTAGTAGAGACGGGGTTTCTCCATGTTGGTCAGGCTGGTCTCGAACTCCCGACCTCAGGTGATCCGCCTGCCTCAGCCTCCCAAGTGCTGGGATTACAGGCATGAGCCACCGTGCCCAGCCACTAATGGTCTTCTTGAGCCTCTGGAGACCAGACCTTTAATAGTCTGTAGTTTTGTTCGTAAGCAGTACATATCTGATATGTTGTAGTTACTCAGTATACTTCTTGAATGAATGTCACTGCCATTTTAAAATAAAAATACAAGTAAGCCAAAAGGAGAAATGAAGTCGCCAGTCTTGCCACACGGACTTAACTACTAACATGCTTCTGAAGATGGGAGATAACTAGCCTCCTGCCGCGGGTCCCTGAGTCTTCCTTCATGGAGAGGGTTCATTGTAGGGACTGGCCATGGGACAACCTTGGTGGTAAAGCCAGCTGTTGAAGAGCCAGAGATATTGATAGTAGGCTTGCCAGGAAAATTCCTTTGGAAGTGGCACTGCTTGCTTGCTCTCAAATTACTATCCTCTGTAACAAGGTTCAGATTGAAAATTATATACTCAGGGACAAAATATAAACTTGGGTTTGGATTAAACTTTTCTTCCTGTTTAAAAAGAGAAGTTAGAATACCTGTGTTGTGTATGCCTAGAACTTAGAAAAATTACAATGTACGAGAATCTTTTCTGCTGTGTTTTTTGTAAGTGGTCTTGTGAGTTAATAAAGAAGCAATGTGATTGGATGGGAAGAATAGCGGATTGGGAGTCTACAATGTCAAATGTTAGTCCTAACTAATCACACAGTAAATTAAAGACTGTGTTTAATCACTTTGAGTCTCAGTTTCCACATCAGTTAAGGAACCACACTAGACAGTCTTTCAGCCCTCCCATGGTAGTATAAGGCATAAACCTCAATTTCCTTACGCTTCTCCAGGACCAGTCTACTTTTCTGTGTCGTTAAGAGTTGAGGGGCTGCCTTTCTAAGATTCTGGGAACCAAATTCTAGGGTAGTTTTCTAAGATTCTAGGAACCAAAAGTTAGCAAGTGAAGAGGAAACAGAATACTTTTGAATTTGCCCAGCTGTGCTTTTTATAGGAAGAGCCATTTCTAGTCAGAGGATTTCAGAGCATTTTAAAACTCTGTGGTGATATGCTGGTTACATTCTTCCTTAGACTAAAATTACAACCTGAATGTACTTAATGATACATATGTGTATTGTAATTTGTAAACATAACTCAAAACCCTGTATCTGAGTCAGGTCTTTTGTGGTTCGCCATTCAGACTTCATTTCTATTTGACAAGCGTTTATTTTAAGATTGCTTTGCGGAGCAGTTGTTTAACATTCAAGTGATCTATTAGTGTTAAGTCTTTAACCAGACTTGTTTTAAATGAGCTGTCTGTTAAGTAGAAAACCAAATATTATAGAAACTTAGATTTCCAATCCAACTTTGCAAAAATCAATGTAACTTAAATGTTGTCTTCACATATGTTTGTTTAACCTGTTTTTTTCCTTCAGTATTCATTTAGAAAAATAGTAACTGTGTGAATAAAATTTTTTAGTTACTCTTGATACTATTGTTTAGCAAGAACTGTAGACTTAATTGGTTGAGAAAAGAACATTTAGAGTAAATGAATGCTTTAGTAAGTTAATTATTTCTTAGCATATCACAAATACATGTAGAAAGAATAAGATCTGATTCTATAGCTTTATTCCTAGGTTATTAAAAGCAAACTTCTATGGAAGTAAGTTCTCATTAGGCTCTCTATATATATGTATACACACACATACATACATACATACATGCATACATACATATAGGCTATGTATTGTAATCCATTTGGTTATTTTGTTGGCGATGTGGGTCAATTGGATGAAAGCCGAAGATGACTTATGTAAATAGCCAAACCATGCTTCAGAATTGTTTTATACATCAATCTAATTCTTACCATTAGTACCGTGGCTTCCTCTCCTCTTTCCTGGTGTCCAGATTGTCACAGTTAAAGGGCATTTTTTTCCTATTTAGCAAATATAACCATTATCAATTTTTAAAATGAGATTTTCGGCCCCTTCCCTTTTGTGTTGTAGGTGCTCCATACTTGCTTGCAGTGCCTATGTGGCTCTGGCTTTGGGTGATAACCTTATGGCTTTGAATCATGCAGATAAACTTCTTCAGCAGCCCAAGCTGTCAGGATCTCTTAAGTAAGTGTGACTTGCCCTGTGTGTCCCTGGTTTCTTTTGTTTTGAGGTTTCTCCTTGGTTTGTGGTTTATGTTGCTTCTTTTTATTCTTCCAGTGGAATATATATTTGTAAGGAAAGCAGCTGTTTAAATGAACTTTTTTTAAGCCATGCCTCAGCAGTGAAAATGTTTTCACTTGTGCTGTACTGAGCATTAGGAGACAAAAACTTCGGACTCTAGTGTCCACTTCTAGGCTTCACTGCAGCACTTTAATTCCCCAAATAAGTCAAGTCCTCAGGGAGAAGACCTACAAAAAAGGAGTTTGGTCAATGTGGTAAATCTACTTTGAGGGACCAGGTACAGTGGCTTACGCCTGTAATCCCAGCACTTTGGGAGGCCAAGGCAGGCAAATCACAAGGTCAGGAGTTCAAGACCAGCCTGGCCAACATGGTGAAACCCGCCTCTACTAAAAATACAAAAAATTAGCTGGGCATAGTGGCAGGTGCCTGTAGTCCCAGCTACTCAGGAGGCTAAGGCAGGAGAATTGCTTGAACCCAGGAGGCAGAAATTGCAGTGAGCCAAGATCACACCACTGCACTCTAGCCTAGGCTACAAAGCATGATTCTGTCTCAAAAATAATATTAATAATAAAATAAATAGACAAGAATTTTAAAATATCTTTCCAAGCTACTGTATCATTCCAAAATGAGCTAGTTTTAGTGAGACTCCAAATACTTCTTCGTTAATATCATTGTCATTCTAAAATTTTCCAAAGCACATTATCTTTTTCTTTTATCAAAATTGAGTAAAATACAGGCCAGATGTGGTGGCTCATGTCTGTAATCCCAGCACTTTGGGAGGCCGAGGTAGGCAGATCATTTGTGGTCCAGACCAGCCCAGCCAACATGGTAAAACCCCATCTCTACTAAAAATATTAAAATTAGCCAGGTGTGGTTGCAGGCGTCCATAATTCCAGCTACTCGGGAAGTTGAAACAGGAGAATCACTTCAGCCTGGGGGGCGGACGTTGCAGTGAGCCAAGGTTGCACCATTGCACTCCAGGCGGAGTGACACAGCAAGACTCCCTCTCAAAAAAATAAAAATAAACTGCATACAGCTTGAAATTTTTGTGTGGTGCTGATCCTGGAAATTTTATCAAAAGCCACGAGTATTCTGCATAACATTAGAACAGTTGTTCTTTCATTCATCGTATAGGTATATACTTATAAATGCCGAAATATAACTACTTACTCTTTTGCTTTTTAGTGATCCCCAGACATACCTAGTGCTTTTTTTTTTAAAAAAAAAAAAAAAAAGGTAATTAAGGCCAGGCGCGGTGGCTCACACCTGTAATCCCAGCACTTTGGGAGGCCTACGCAGCAAATCATTTGAGGTCAGGAGTTGGAGACCAGCCTTGCCAATATGGTGAAACCCCATCTCTACTGAAAATACAAAAATTAGCCAGGCATGGGGGCGCACTCCTGTAATCCCAGTTACTCAGGAGGCTGAGGCACGAGAATTGCTTGAGCCTGGGAGGCAGAAGCTGCAGTGAGCCGAGACTGTACCACTGTACTCCAAACTGGGTGACAGAGTGAGACTCCATCTCAAAAAAAAAGTAGTAAGAAATCATTCAACAATATAAGAGACTTTGTCACAATTCAAATATAAGGGAACTCCTGCTCTTCTGCAAGAAAATCTTGTCCAATATTCAGGCTTGGAGATGGGGAAGATCCTAATTTTCAGTTCAAGGCATTTGGGTTGCCTCTAAAGTACCTTCCATTCTTACCATTGCCCAACTCAAAATACCAATGTTGGGAATTGCAGCTCCTGCTGGTGTTCAGATTGTGGTGTATACGGCCATTATGAGAGAACTGGACTTTGTGTGTGTGTGTGACTGAGTCTCTCTCTGTGACCCACGCTAGAGTGCAGTGGCGCAATCTCAACTCACGGCAACCTCTGCTATCTGGGTTCAGGTGATTCTCCTGCCTCAGCCTCCCGAGTAGCTGGAACTACAGGAGCCCACCACCACATCCGGCTAATTTTTTTTTCTTTTTTCGAGACAGAGTTTCACTCTGTCACCTAGGCTAGAGTGCAGTGGCATGATCTCAGCTCACTGCAACCTCTGCCTCCCCGGTTCAAGCGATTCTCCTGCCTCAGCCTCCTGTGTAGCTGGGATTGCAGGCGCACGCCACTATGCCCTGCTAATTTTTTTTTTTTTTCTTTTTTTGAGATGGAGTTTCACAGGCATGAGCCACCGTGCCTGGCTAGTTTTTGTATTTGCTCTTATTGCCCAGGCTGAAGTGCAGTGGTGTGATCTTGGCTCATCACAACTTCCACCTCCTGGGTTCAAGCGATTCTCCTGCCTCATCCTCCCAAGTAGCTGGGATTACAGGCATGTACCACCACTCCCAGCTAATTTTGTATTTTTAGTAGAGACGGGGTTTCTCCATGTTGGTCAGGCTGGTCTCAAACTCCTGACCTCAGGTGATCTGCCCGTCTCGGCCTCCCAAAGTGCTGGAATTACAGGTGTGAGCCACCACGCCAAACCTGGAGAGCTTTAAAACTGTAAAAGTTTAGTTTGTGTTGTTCTTATGTAGAAAGTCATTAAGATTTTGAGCAGATCAGAAGGTCCCCAGTTAAAAAAAAAAAAAATCAGGCGTGGTGGCTCACGCCTGTAGTCCCAGCACTTTGGGAGGCCGTGGTGGATGGATCATGAGGTCAGGAGATTGATACCATCCTGGCCAACATGGTGAAACCCCGTCTCTACTAAAAATACAAAAAATTACCCGGGCATGGTGGCATGTGCCTGTTATCCCAGATACTCGGGAGGCTCAGATGGGAGAATCCCTTGAACCAGGGAGTCAGAGGTTGCAGTGAGCCAAGATCGTGCCATTGCACTCCAGCCTGGCAACACAGCAAGAGACTCCATCTCAAAAAGAAAAATAAAAAGAGAGAGAGAGAGACACATTTTTAGCAGGGATGAAGTATGTCTAAGGCTATTTTAATTTTGAAAAATTCCATCAGGTGATCATCAGGAAAATGGCTCAAAGTAAGAGACTGGAAGAAGTAGGCTGTTGTAAGCCAGGAGGGTGTGCATCTGACCTGGCATTCATGGGGATAAAATAGATGATGCGAAAGCAGGAAACCTTTCAAATAGAATCTGATCTGGCGCTCTGGTGCTTTTAGACTCTTCCAGCAGCGGAGACTGGAGGAATCTGATTCTCATGCTCTACACACGGGCATCTATTCTTGGATCTCTCTCTATAGAACAGCATAAATTTGCCAATTGCGAACTACTTTCTGAATTGATATGTATACTTTGTTCTACTTAGCTAATATGAAAATTGTTATAGTACTTATATATTTTTTTAGAGACAGGGTCTCATTCCATGGTCCAGGCTGGAGTGCAGTGGCACAATCATAGCTTACTGTAGCCTTGAACTCCTGGGCTCAAGTAGTCCTCACACTCTGCCTCCCAAGTGCTGGGATTACACACATGAGCCACCACACCCAGCCTTAAGATGTTTTTAAAGAGATAAAATTTAAGTAACTCTTTTTTTTTTTTTTCTGATACAGAGTCTCGCTCTGTCGCCCAGGCTGGAGTACAGTGGCGTGACCTCGGCTCACTGCAAGCTCCGCCTCCTGAGTTCACGCCATTCTCCTGCCTCAGCCTCCCTAGTAGCTAGGACTACAGGCACCCGCCACCACGCCCAGCTAATTTTTTGTATTTTTAGTAGAGACGGGGTGTCACCATATTAACCAGGGTGGTCTCAATCTCCTGATCTCGTGATCCGCCCGTCTTGGCCTCCCAAAGTGCTGGGATTACTGGCATGAGCCACCACACCCGTCAAGTAACTCTTTATTTTTATTTATTTATTTATTTATTTTTGAGACGGTGTCTCACTGTGTCATTCAGGCTGAGGTACAGCATGATCACCGCTCACTGCAGCCTCAGTCTCCCAGGCTTAAGTGATTCTCCCATTTCAGCCTCCTGAGTAGCTGAGACTACAGGCATATAGCACCACGCCCAGCTAGTTTTTGTATTTTTTTTGTAGAGACAGGGTTTTGCCATGTTGCCCACTGGGCTCAAGCAGTCCACCCACCTAGGCCTCTTGAAGTGTTGAGATTAAAGGCATGAGCCACTATACCCAGCCAGTTGATTCGTTTTACCTAAATAAATTTAGATTTCAATTTAAGGACATGAAATATGAGACATATATCCAGTGTATAATAACATAATATACCCAGCATTATTTTACATTGGGTATTTTTGTAGTGTTGTACTTTTCAGTTTGGAATCTGTTTTTTCATTTTAGGTTTTTGGGACATTTATATGCTGCAGAAGCCCTCATCTCTCTCGACAGGATATCTGATGCCATTACTCACTTGAACCCGGAGAACGTCACTGATGTCTCCTTAGGGATCTCTTCAAATGAGCAGGACCAAGGTTAATGAGGACACCTTTGATCCGAACTGGTCACTGTTTCCATTTCCTTCCTGTCATAATTCAGGATGTGTGGAAATTTCAGGGCATGGTGGTAATGAGGAGAAAAGTTTTAGGTCGGCTTTCCACATTTTTGTTTGTATTTACTTTGTAGCAGTTGTTTGCTAAGTAGACCTGAGAGTTAATGGTCACATTGTCTAAATTTTCACTTTTGAAAGGCTGGTACTGTTAGAATGGTTAATGTGGTTCTGATACTGTTTATTTGTTTTCCTTTGGAGTGATTCTAAAATCCACAGGGGCGTAAAAATACTGCATTCAAGAGTCAGTTTCAGGCCGGGCGCAGTGGCTCACACCTGTAATCCCAGCACTTCGGGAGGCGGTAGCAGGAGGATCACTTGAGCCCAGGAGTTCGAGACCAGCCTGGGCAACCTAGTGAGACCCTGTCTCTATTTTAAAAATAAGGAGAGAAAAGTTTGTTTTAAATCATTGCTAAATTTTTAAATAATTGCCAGGCGTGGTGGCTCATGCCTCTAATCCCAACACTTTGGGAGGCCGAGGTGAGCAGATCACCTGAGGTCAGGAGTTCAGGACCAGCCTGGCCAACATAGTGAAACCCTGTCTTTACCAAAAATACAAAATTACTGGGACATGGTGGCACGTGTGTGTAATCCCAGCTACTCAGGAGGCTGAGACAGGAGAATCGCTTGAACTCAGGAGGTGGAGGTTGCAGTGAGCCAAGATCACGCCACTGCACTCCAGCCTGGGTGACAGAGTGACAGTCTGTCTGGGAAAAAAAAAAATTAAATAATTTAAGCTGTATGACATTCACTTTACTCAAGATTAGTGCTCAGGTTTGAGATGGTAGTGGGGTGGTAGCATTCTGACATCTTTTAATGGAATCTCCACTACGTGAAAAGTAAATAAATTGCTTTATATTAAATTTCCATTTCATAAAGAAAGTTAGGTTTTTAGAAAATATGCTCTCGGCTGGGCACAGTGGCTCACGCCTGTAATCCCAGCACTTTTGGAGGCCGTGGTGGGTGGATCACCTGAGGTCAGGAGTTTAAGACCAGCCTGACCAACATGGTGAAACCCTGTCTCTATTAAAAATACAAAATTAGCCAGGCATGGTGGTATGCCCCTGTAATCCCAGCTACTCAGGAGGCTGAGGCCAGAGAATCACTTGAACTCAAGAGGCGGAGGTTGCAGTGAGTCGCACCATTGCACTCCGGCCTGGGGCGGCAACAACAGCAAAACTCCATCTCCAAAAAAAAAAACAAACAAACCAGCCTGACAAACATGGTGAAACCCCGTCTCCACTAAAAATACAAAAATTAGCCAGGCGTGGTGGCGCATGCCTGTAATCCTAGCTATTCAGGAGGCTGAGGCAGGAGAATCGCTTGAACCCAGGAGGTGGAGGTTGCAGTGAGCCGATATCGTGCCACCGCACTCCAGCCAGGGCAACAGAGCGAGGCTGCGTCTCAAAAAAAAAAGAAAGAAAAGAAAAGGAAAGAAAATATGCCCTTTGCCTTCTGAGCCTGAGGAAAAAAAAAAGAAAATATGCTCTGTTGTTCTGCCCCTCAGATTTATTTTCATGTTTTTGTAGGATCAGACAAAGGTGAAAATGAAGCAATGGAATCCTGTAAGTAAGAAGTTTTGTGATACTTAAGTAGCCTGGCCTGCATTCCAAAAATTAGACTCTAAATCTTCTATGTTCGTTTTTCTGCCTGAGGAATACTGCTGTGCTGAGTGGCTCCTCAAGGCAATAGGTGGGGTTGCTCCTTTGTTGTTTGCACAGCCTCTTCACCAGTGTCTACACTCTTTTTCCTCAGCTGGGAAGCGGGCCCCTCAGTGCTACCCCAGTTCCGTCAACTCTGCCAGGACTGTGATGCTGTTCAACCTTGGCAGTGCTTACTGCCTGAGGAGCGAATATGACAAAGCCCGAAAGTGTCTCCACCAGGTGAGTCCAGACTGGGAGGAACTGAACCTTGTAAAGCAGCCAACACAAGTTTGAGGTTTATATATTTTTTTTGTTATTTTGTTTGAGGCATCTGGTCAGTTTGTTAAACATTGGAATATCACTTTCCCAGATTTAAAAATATTCTTGCAACATAAACAACTGATCAACATTGTAAATTAACCTAGACACTTAATGAAGAGTTTTTCTTGATGATTTTACTTAATTTTTTTTTTTTTTTTGCCGGGCACGGTGTCTCATGCCTCCCAGCATTTTGGGAGGCTGAGGTGGGCAAATCATGAGGTCAGAAGTTTGAGACCAGCCTGGCCAATATGGTGAAACCCCATCTCTACTAAAAAATACAAAAATTAGCCAGGTTGGTGACACGTGCCTGTAGTCCCAATTACTAAGGAAGCTGAGGCAGGAGAATCATTTGAATCCGGGAGGCGGAGGTTGCAGTGAGCCAAGATCGCGCCACTGCACTCCAACCTGGGCAACAGAGCGAGACTCTGTCTCAAAAAAAAAAAGAATGTTTAAATTTCAAATCAACAGAATAAAAAGCAACTTGGGGCCAGGCACAGTGGCTCACCCACACTCTGGGAGGCTGAGACAGGCAGATCACTTGAGTCCAGCAGTTTGAGACCAGCCTGGGCAACATAATGAGACCATAGCTCTACTAAAAATACCAAAAATTAGCCAGGCATGGTAGTGCATTCCTGTAGTCCCAGATACTTAGGAGACAGAGGTAGGAGGATCACCTGTGCCTGGGAGGTCAAGGCTGCAGTGAGCAGCCTTGCATTCCAGCCGGGGCAACTGGATCATGCCACTGCATTCCAGCCGGGGCAACTGGAGCGAGACCCTGTCCCAAAAAAAAAAAAAAAAAAAAAAACGAAGGAGTAACTTGACAGTTTTAATTATTAAAATTCCAAAAGATGGAAAACTGTCTAACAGATCACTTATATAAATAATAGTGCATCTGTACAGTTGAAGACAATGCAGCTATAAACTCGGGGTACTAAATTGAAAGATGTCCAAGACATACTAAATGAAAACAGCAAGGTGTGAAACAGTTTCTGTACAACCCTGTATACATGCATAAAAGATCTCTGAAAGGACACACCAAGAAACTGTGAATATTAGTTGTAGGGGTGGCAGGATGAATACTACATGGCTGGAGCAGTAGAACGGGAGACTTTTCAGTGTATATTCTTATGCTTTTAAATTTTAAATTGTGTAAATCTTTTTTTCAAAAAGTGAATTATAGACTGGGCGCAGTGGCTCACACCTGTAATCCCAACACTTCGGGAGGCCAAGGCGGGCAGATCCTGAGGTCAGGAGATCAAGACCATCCTGGCTAATACGGTGAAACCCCATCTCTACTAACAATACAAAAAAATTAGCCAGGCGTGGTGGCATGTGCCTGTAGTCCCAGCTACTCGGGAGGCTGAGGCAGAAGAATGGCGTGAACCCAGGAGGCGGAGCTTGCAGTGAGCCAAGATCGTGCCACTGCACTCCAGCCTGGGCAACAGAGTGTGACTCTGTCTCAAAAAAAAAAAAAAAAAAAAGTGAATTATAAATCCACCTTTCAGAAAGCCAATACTAGAGAAACTCCATACATACTAAAGAAAGCTGCTGGCAAGGCCGGGCGCGGTGGCTCACGCCTGTAATCCCAGCACTTTGGGAGGCCAGCGCAGGCAGATCCTGAAGTCAGGAGATCGAGACCATCCTGGTTAACATGGTGAAACCCCGTCTCTACTAAAAATACAAAAAATTAGCTGGGCGTGGTGGCAGACACCTGTAGTCCCAGCAACCTGGGAGACTGAGGCAGGAGAATGGCGTGAACCCGGGAGGCAGAGCTTGCAGTGAGCCAAGATTGTGCCACTGCACTCCAGCCTGGGCTACAGAGCGAGACTCCATCTCAAAAAAAAAAGAAAGAAAAAAAAGAAAGCTGCCAGCAATACATAACTAAAATAAACCTCTGAATTCTACCGCTGAAATGGTGCATCATGAAGCTTCAAGGAAGATTTTGATTGGATCTCTTTAGGTCACCTGCCAGTCCCTGGACCAGTCATGGGCATGGAGCCATACCTGTCGTAGGGGACTAGGTATCACCATTGGCAGCCCCAGAGGAATCTCACAAAATTAGAAATAATTCCTCAAAAGGACATTCATCCAGCAAATATCTGTTGAGTACTTACTTCTGAGCTAACCCATGGGAATAAGACTGCAAATAAGCAGACATGCTACAACCTTGCCCTTGTTTGTAGACCTTTGCAGTTAGGAGACACCTTCCTAAAAAGGGAATTGCCACGCAATTCAGAGGGTATGCAGGATTTTAAGACTTCTGATTTAGAAAGTTTGTATCAAATGGTCCATTCTCCAGCAGCACTTGAGAAGGCCCACATCCCCACATGCTTGCCACAGCAACTCAAGTTGAAATTAAACCTCTTCTCAGGAGATAGGGTGGCTTTCAGCCAGACGCGGTGACTCACGCCTGGAATCCCAGCACTTTAGGAGGCTGAGGCGGGCAGATCACCTGAGGTCGGGAGTTTGAGACCAGCCTGACCAACATGGAGAAACCCTGTCTCTACTAAAAATGCAAAAATTAGCTGGGCGTGGTGGCTCATGCTTGTAAGCTCAGCTACTCGGGAGGCTGAGGCAGGGGAATTGCTTGAACCCAGGAGGCGGAGGTTGCAGTGAGCCGAGATCGTGCCGTTGCACTCCATCCTGGGCAACAAGAGCGAAACTCCGTCTCAAAAAAAAAAAAAAAAAAAAAAAAAGCCTATGTGACTTTCACATAGGTTCCTGCTTATGTAAGCAACCTTGTTGTGCCTAGAAGTGATGATGTTTTACCATGTGGAAAATAACTACAAATTCTATTTAGTCAACTTAATGGCATCTGGTCAGCATGTCTGATCCCAAATCAGACAAGTTAAGTCACAGACTGTCCAGGGTAACATGTTTGATACTATCTAGGCATTGAGTGTATGAGTTAAACCAATAAGAGTTACAATGTTTCAGTCTTCCCAGTAGCAAGGCTAGGATGTTTAACAGCCCCTCTCAAAGTGCCCCCAGACCCCAATCACTGCAGCAAACAGAGCTTTTGATCTAAAGTTACAGTGTGTACAGTCCAGCTCAGGTTCTCATACAGCAGGTGGCCATGGCTGCTGCCACGCTGGGAGAGACAGATGGGGTCAGGCCTGGTTCGGGGTCTGAAGGGGGTCTTGTTTTGGTCCCTTGGTTTTTAGGTTAATCCAATGGCTGGAACTTTGTTAATTGGGAGGCCCACCCTGCCTGGGAGGGAAGAACAGTAATGTGAAGAGTTGGAAAGGGCTCCGAGTAGATGTTTCCAAGGTTGCCTGCCCACTGCTAACCATTCTGAACAGCCAGTAAGCAAAATGCCATTAAGTATCATAAAGATGTTGTCTTGAATTCTTGTATTTTAAAAAAAGCTTCAGACTAGTCATTGCAAAAAATAGTAAATAAAATGTGTTACTAGCCACTTGGATGGAAAATAGAGATTTTAGTATCCACAAAATGGGCCTGGCACAGTGGCTCATGTCTGTAATCCCAGCACTTTGGGAGGCCAAGGCGGGTGGATCATCTGAGGTGAGGAGTTCAAGACCAGCCTGGACAACATGGTGAAACCCCATCTCTACTAAAAATACAAAAAATTAGCCGGGCATGGTGGCAGGAGCCTGTAATCCCAGCTACTTAGGAGACTGAGGCAGGAGAATAGCTTGAACCCAGGAGGCAGAGGTTGCAATGAGCCGAGACCGTGCAGTTGCAGTCCAGCCTGGGCAACAAGAGCAAAACTCCGTCTCAAAAAAAAATCCACAAAATGGTGTAAAGACAATCTTGCCTATACAGCTTACCTAGAAAGCTAGGCTTAGATGTATAAAATTTCATTTTCTGAAAAGAGTTGTTATACCTCAGTGATGTGGCGAGAGGAATAAAAGCTCCCCCACCTCATTCATGAGGAACTTCTTAGAAGCACGTGCTCTGGGCAAGATGCCCCACTAGTCTGGGATTTCTCCTGATGCTGCCAGAAACCAACCTAGTACACGTTTCTGGTTCTCCCCAACATCTCCCACATTCAAGCTTCTACTTAGACCTTCAGTACCATTTCTCCCCATTTTCTGCCTATGAGATATCTACCCTGCAAGGACTAAAGCAGGCCTCCATTACCCCAAAGCTCTATTTGAAAGAAACTTCTTTTCTTTCCATATTCACAGCACATTCACTGCCTTTCTCCCTGGTATTTATGTAACTTTGTTTGGATTACTGTTATTTGCATGGTTGTTTATTATCAGGGGAAGTCCCTGACTTATCTCCATACCCACCTCTGGTCAGTAAGTATTTGTAGAAGTCCATTATCTGATTAGATTAAGAGAAGAGGCAGAGCTGTCTGGAAGCAATGAGCAACTAAAACTAGATGGGGAAATACAAGTTGATAATAAGGTGAGGAATATTTTGGCTGTAACCCAAAGAGGCCCAGACTGAAGAAATAAACCTGTAATTTCAGCACTTTTGTCCAGAGCAGTTCAGGCTTCTTTTCTCAGGACTGGATCAGAGAGAAACTGCTGGCCGATGCTGCGGCTCTTTCTCAGATCTAAGGGCAGCATGGTGCCTAAACTAGTAAATTATTTTATTGGACTAAATTGTACTGTGTTTCAGTCCTTAAGAATGGGGACACCAAACATGCTATGTGGTACATTTTTTCTGTATTACTATTTACGTTTGAATTGTTATTCCTGACATTGACAACTTACAGTTTATAATACTGAGGTGTTACTTAGGAAAACAAATGGGCCTGCAGATTTTTATGTAAATGCAACTGTGTGTGTCTGTTGTGAAAGCCACCAGCAGACTTGCATGGTTGATTGTAGTATCAGGGTATCCAGTCACACATCTCAAAACCCATAGTATTACATGTCTAGCTTAATTGGTAGGTTTTAAGACAAAAGGAGCTGAGGCTCATCACAGCAAAACAACAGGTAGTCTCTAGGAAGTCACGAGGGAATGAGCTTGAATAAATTTGTTACCTTGTTGGTTGGCAGATGTACTTGGAGTGTGTATCTTAAGCTGTTGGTTTTTCATGGGCATCTTTCTGTTTTGAGCAAAGGCGGCTTCAATGATCCATCCTAAAGAGGTGCCCCCTGAGGCCATCTTGCTGGCAGTCTACCTTGAGCTGCAGAATGGTGAGTAATTCTCTCTGTTTAGGACTGTATCCCTTCAACGAGCCCGACATTTTTTTGGTTGGGGGACAGGGTCTCACTGTGTTGCCCAGGCTGGAGTGCAGTGGTACCATCAGAGCTTACTGCAGCCTCCAAACTCCTGGGCTCAAGCAGCCTTCCCACCTCAGCCTCCCAGGTAACTGGGACTACAGGTGCACACCACAGAGCCCAACTAATTTTTTTTAATTTTTTGTAGAGATGTGGTCTCGCTTTGTTGCCCAGGCTGCTCTCAAACTCATGGGCTCAAGCAATCCTCCCATCTTACCCTCCCTAGTAGCTGGGATGACAAGCATAAGTCACCATGCCCAGCCAAGGCTGGGATTTTTAATGTCTGTTTTTTCTCTTCAGATTCAAAACTGCCTTCCTTGAAGATATGACCCATCAAATTCTGTTTTTTTTTTTTTTTTTTTTTTTTTTTTTTTTTGAGATTGAGTCATGCTGTGTCACCCAGGCTAGAGTGCAGTGGCACTATCTCAGCTCACTGCAACCTCCGCCTCCCGGGTTCAAGGTTCAAGAGATTCTCCTGACTCAGCCTCTCAAGTAGCTGGGATTACAGGTGCCCGCCACCATGCCTGGTTAATTTTTGTATTTTTAGTAAATTAATCCTGGGATTACAGGAGTGAGCCAGAGCGGATGACCCATCAAATTCTTCTACATAAAAATATAGTTAGGAGCTGGGCGCAGTGGTGCATGCCTATAATACCAGCACTTTGGGAGGCTGAGGTGGGCTAATCACCAGAGTCCAGGAGTTTAAGACCAACTTGGGCAACATGGCAAAACCCCATCTCTACAAAAAATACAAAAATTAGCTGGGTGTGGTGATGTGCACCTGTAGTTCCAGCTACTCGGAAGGCTGAGATAGGAGGATCACTTGAGCCCTGGAGGTTGAGGCTGCAGTGAGCTGAGATCATGCCAAAATGAGACCTTGTCTAAACAAATAATAATGGGCCGGGCGCAGTGGTTCACACCTGTAATTCCAGCATTGGGAGGCCGACGCAGGTGGATCATTTGAGGTCAGGAGTTTGAAACTGGCCTAGCCAACATGGTGAAACCCCATCTCTACTAAAAATACAAAAATTAGCCAGGCGTGCTAGTGCACGCCTGTAATCCCAGGTATTCAGGAGGCTAAAGCAAAAGAATCGCTTGAGCCTGGGAGGTGGGAGGTTGCGGTGAACCGAGACACGCCACTGCACTCCAGTCTGGGCGACAGAGTGAGACCCTGTCTCAAATAGTAATAATAAAAAATATCTATATCTAGATAGATAGATTGACTGATAGATATAGTTGGGGAGTTTTTGGTATCCTACAAATACTCCTTACAAGTTAAGCTTATCTCCTTTTATCTGAGAAAATACAGAATCATAACTTCTGACACTTAATTATAATTAATCCCTATTAACCTTTCTCATAGGCAGCTAAATGACTAATTGAGAACATGAGTTAGACTGTAGTTGCTTTGAGTTGTACACCATAGTATTTTGAACACATATATTAACAAGTTTTACAGTAAGCCAGTTCTTGCTGAGAATTATTTATTCAAACATAAATTCAGGTCATGCCTCTAGGGCATATACGATCTGCAAGATGTATCTCACTAGAAGAAAGGCTGTCGGCTCTAGATATGAGATAGCATGAAGTAGAAAAGAGACATGAATGAGAGAGATTAGAAGGGACAGAACTAGGCCGGGTGCAGTGGCTCACTCACGCCTGTAATCCCAACACTTGGGAGGCCGAGGCGGGCGGATCACAAGGTCAGGAGATCGAGACCATCCTGGCTAACATGGTGAAAATAAATGTTATTTTCTCTGTCTCTACTAAAAATACACAAAATTAGCTGGGCGTGTTGGCACGCAGTTGTAGTTCCAGCTACTCAGGAGGCTAAGGCAGGAGAATTGCTTGAATCCTGGAGGCGGAGGGAGATCGTGCCACCACACTCCAGCCTGGACGACAGAGCGAGACTCTGTCTCAAAAAACAAAAAAGGGACAGAAATGAAGTCACAGCCAGGCGTAGAGTCCTAGCTACTCTGGAGGCTGAGGCAGGAGGATTGCTTAAGGCCAAGAGTTCAAGGCTATAGTGTGCAGTATTGCTCCTGTGAACAGTCACTGCACTCCAGCCTGGGCAACATAGTGAGACCCTGTCTCTTTTTTAAAAAATAAAAAATAAAAAAAGGCTGGGCACAGTAGCTCATGCCTGTAATCCCAGCTACTCTGGAAGCTAAGGCAGGAGAATCGCTTGAACCTCGGAGATGGAGGTTGCAGTGAGCCATAATCACCCCACTGCACTCCAGCCTGGGCCGCAGAACAAGACTCTGTCTCAAAGAAAACCCAGTGTTCAAAGGCATAACTCCTTGTTGACCATGGGAACTCTTACAAGGCTCCCCTTTTTTTTTAATAGCTGAAGAAGGGGTCTTAAGTGCCTGGCACCCAGCCAGACTTAGCCTCCTTAAAGATGTGATTAGGGTTAGTGCATTGCCCTAAACTGTTTCATTGTTTTTTGTTTTGAGATAGGGTCTCAGTTTGTCACCCAGGCTGGAATGTAGTGGCGTGATCTCAGCTCACTGCAGCCTTGACCTCCCAGGTTCAAGCAGCCCTCCTGCCTCAGCCCCCCACATAGCTGGGACTACAGACATACACCACCACGCCCAGCTAATTTTTGTATTTTTTCTAGAGACAGGGTTTCACCATGTTACCCAACCTGGTCTCAAACTCCTGAGCCCAGACGATCTGCCCACCTCGGCCTCCCAAAGTGCTAGGGTTACAGACGTGAACCAACCCTCCGAGCTGATTGTTTCTTTTATACAGCCCACCTATAACAAGTTCTCTATCTGGGCTGTACCTTAGAATCACTGGGAAACTTTTAAAAATTCCATTGCCTGGCCGGGCGCGGTGGCTCACGCCTGTAATCCCAGCACTTTGGGAGTTCAAGGCGGGCAGATCACGAGATCAGGAGATCGAGACCATCCTGGCTAACATGGTGAAACCCCGTTTCTACTAAAAATACAAAAAATTAGCTGGGCGTGGTGGCGGGCGCCTGTAGTCCCAGCTACTCGGGAGGCTGAGGCAGGAGAATGGCGTGAACCCGGGAGGCGGAGGCTGCAGTGAACCTAGATGGTGCCCCTACACTCCAGCCTGGGGACAGAGGGAGACTCCGTCTCAAAAAAAAAAAAAAAAAAAAAAAAAAGTTCCATTGCCCGGGCCATGCCCTACATCACTTAAATTGGAATTTCTGGGGATAGGATGGAGGCTTTATGGGATTCCAGTGTACAGCCAAGGCTGCAGATGACGGCTCTTCTAGATCATCTTTTACCTCCCTAGCAGGATTCTCATGGCTTGCTTTGTGTGTGGTAGTATTGTTGCTTGCTTTTTTAACGGGAAGTGTTTTTATAGGTAATACTCAGCTGGCCTTACAGATCATCAAAAGGAATCAGCTGCTCCCTGCAGTGAAAACACACTCTGAAGTGAGAAAGAAGCCAGTGTTTCAGCCTGTCCACCCGATCCAGCCCATCCAAATGCCGGCTTTCACCACTGTGCAGAGAAAGTGATACTTCGCTTTTGGAAAACCGTTACCTGAGACCCAGGGGAGTATTTACTGGCCATTTTACTTGTATCACAGCAGAATGAATAAAAGATGGTGAAGGCTGTTAATTTTGAGACGGTTCTACCCCTGACTTTTTGCCAAAAGCTTACTTAAAATTAAGGATTTACTAGGTCATCATCAGCTGGTTTTCTTTTGTTTTTTTTTTGTTTTGTTTTGAGATGGAGTCTCACTCTGTTGCCCAGGCTGGTGTGCAGTGGCTGGATCTCAGCTCACTGCAAGCTCCGCCTCCCGGGTTTACGCCATTCTCCTGCCTCAGCCTCCCGCGTAGCTGGGACTACAGGCGCCCGCCACCTTGCCCAGCTAGTTTTTTTGTACTTTTTAGTAGAGACGGGGTTTCACCGTGTTCGCCAGGATGGTCTCGATCTCCTGACCTTGTGATCCACCCGTCTCGGCCTCCCAAAGTGCTGGGATTACAGGCTTGAGCCACCGCGCCCGGCCTGCTGTTTTTCTTAATTTCAGCCAGACTATTAATTTTGAGACATTATGTAATATATGCCATAGGCAATTAAAACATAATTTTATCAGAAGTCTTTTCTTGACTCTTAGATTATTTTAGCATCTGAGGTTTTGTGTTAATGTTTAAAAATTGACAAAGAAGAATATCAACAGTAGATAAATAGCCAATTCAGAAGCTGACCTGGGAGTAAAGGGGAGCGAAAGAGAGTTGATGTGTTTTATGTCTAGTGTGATGACTGAAAAGACGAGAAAATGTGTAGAGAAATTTGGTTAAGAAGACACAACTGGGCCAGGCACAGTGGCTCATCCCTATAATCCCAGCACTTTGGGAGGCTGAGGCAAGCAGATTCCTTGAGCTCAGGAGTTCGAGACCAGCCTGGCCAACATGGTGAAACCCCATCTCTACTAAAAATACAAAAATTAGCCAGGTGTGGTGGCACATGCCTGTAGTCCCAGCTACTCAGGAGGCTGAGGCAGGAAAATCACTTGAACCTGGGAGGTGGAGGTTGCAGTGAGCTGAGATTACACCATTGCACTCCAGCCTGGGCAACAGAACAAGACAGTGTCAAAAAAAGACACAACTGATCTGTTAGGAATCATTTGCTTAAAAAGTGCAAATACAACAGGGTTCAGTGTACTGGCCTTGTTCACTCTCCTAGGTTCTGGAGTCTGTTAGCAGGCAGTTCAAGGTTCATTACTAACCCTTTTGCAAATGCAAACAAGAATTTAATAGCTTTTTCCCAATAGACAGTTGTGTGTTATGGGATTGACAGTGAAAAACTTGTCAATAGGATGGATATATACTAACATTGAGTAGGGAGAAAAGAACAGTACAAGTGGGTACAGGGGCTCACATCTATAATCCCAGTGTTTTGGGAGACCAAGGCGGGAGGATCACTTGAGGAGTTCAAGACCAGCCTGGGCAACATAGCAAGACTCTGTCTCTAAAACTTTAATTTTTTTTTTTTTTTTTTTTTTTTTTTTGAGACGGAGTCTTGCTCTGTCGCCCAGGCTGGAGTGCAGTGGCTCAATCTCGGCTCACTACAAGCTCTGCCTCCTGGGTTCATGCCATTCTCCTGCTTCAGCCTTCTGAGTAGCTGGGACTATAAGGGCCCACCACCATGCCTGGCTAATTTTTTGTATTTTTAGTAGAGACGGGATTTCACTGTGGTCTCCATCTCCTTACCTTGTGATACGCACGCCTCGGCCTCCCAAAGTGTTGGGATTACAGGCGTAAGCCACCGCGCCCAGCCCTCTAAAACATTTTTAAAAGCCAGACATTGTGGCCCATGCCAATAGTCCTAGCTATTCTGGAGGCTGAGGTGGGAGGATTGTTTGAGCCTAGGAATTCAAGGCTGTAGTGAGCTATGTTGGCACCACTGCACTCCAGCCTGATTGATAGAGTGAGACCCTATCTCAAACAAACAAACAAAAAAAGACAATGTAGATTTCCTTTAATAAATTGGGTGTCCCCCTAGTTAAGATGGTGTTTGGTAGATTCATCAAAGCTTGCCATTTAGGAGTATCCCTTAACATCACAACCCTTCACTTCCCTAGTTCAGAGACACACTAGCTGAATCTACATGTTACCTCAGTTTCAGAACTAGAGAGACAAGTGTGTGGAGAAGCACTGATTTATCTGAAACTTTATCTGAATTATTCTTTTCTTTTCTTTTTTTTTTTTTTTTAAGACGGAGTCTCACTCTGTCTCCCACGGTGGAATGCAGTGGCTGATCTCGGCTCACTGCAGCCTCTGCCTCCTGGGTTCAAGTGATTCTCCTGCCTCAGCCTCCTGAGTGGCTGGGATTTCAGGTGTCTGCCACCATGCCTGGCTAATTTTTGTATTTTTAGTGGAGACTGGGTTTGGGTTTCACCATGTTGGTCAGGCTGGTCTGGAACTCCTGACCTTGTGATCCACCCACTTCAGCCTCCCAAAGTGCTGGGATTACAGGCGTGAGCCACTGCACCTGGCTTTTTTTTTTTTTTTTTTTTTTTTTTGAGATGGAGTTTTGCTCTTGTTGTCCAAGCTGGAGCGCAATGGTGCAATCTCGGCTCACCGCAACCTCTGCCTCCCAGATTCAAGCGATTCTCCTGCCTCAGCCTCCAGAGTAGCTGGGATTACAGGCATGCGCCACCATGCCTGGCTAATTTTGTATTTTTAGTAGAGACGGGGGTTTCTCCATGTTGGTCAGGCTGTTCTCGAACTCCCAACCTCAGGTGGTCTGCCCACCTCAGCCTCCCAAAGTGCTGGGATTACAGGCGTGAGCCACTGAGCCTAGTGTATCTGAATTATTCTGTTGCTGATAAGAAACAGAACTCAGGTAATGATATATACTAGAACCGAGTATTTGTGATTGAGATAGGCATTACCAACAGACTCAAAGAAGGGGAGAATATCCTTCTTTTCTTAAACAGGGATGGATGTATTTAGGGGCTCCATTGATCAAGTGCCACATTGCAGTTGTGTTTTACACAGAGTAGATCTTTACAGGTGGACATAGAAAGCAGAGATAGCCTAGCTTCCTTGGGCCTCTCGAAGCCCCTTCCAAGTAGGCCCATAGGACCTATAACCTGCACTGTTGTTGGTTTAAGTCTGCCGTCTCTGATTCCCCATACTCCAGACCGACAGCAGCACTGTGAGACCCACTCAAATGAGCAGAATTGCTTAGCCTGGGGATTTTCTGGAGAGTGAGTCCACAGACTTCATAAATTGCTAGGAACTCACATAGTCTTGGTAGTATGAAGCGGGAAAAGCCCTATAAATTTAAACAAAGATTCTTTTTCTCTCACTGGAAAAGGGGATACGAAGGCAGCTGCTGGCCTGGGTTCTAGTGTCCCGCGATGCCATCCAGGACTCAGCTCTGTTTTTCCATGCCACTGTCCTCAGCATTTGGGCATTTGTTTCCATAGTCACAAGATGTTCCAGTATCACATCAGCATTGAAGGCAAGAAAAATAGGGCAAAAACTAGCTAATCTTGATGGGAGACTATCTGGAACAAAACTTTCTTAGAAACCCCCAGCAGCCTTCAGCTTAACATCTCTTGTCACATCATGTCATGGAGCCATCCTAAGCTGCAGGGAAGCCTGGCAAAGATGTGATTACCGTGTCTGCTGCAGTTGCTGGCACAGCCCTGCACATCCTAAGGGAGGCCAATTCAGTGTTTTCAGATTAATGTTCCAGCAGCTCAGCTTTTCCTTCTACTGCCTACTGTCAGCAGAGCCCAGCAAATTAAATATAAGCTCGTCACCTCTGTGTCTGGACTCATACTGGTTCCCATAGCCAGGAAGGCTTCTCACCTATTTTTTGTGCCACAATTTGTTAAAGCCACCTCTGCTAACTGAGGTAGCCCTGTCAGAGGGGTGTGAACCACCACAGCAACTCCATCTTAAATGGGAGCTGGGTAAAATAAGGCTGAAAGCTACTGGGCTGCATTCCCAGGTGGTTAAGGCATTCTAAGTCACAGGATGAGGTAGGAGGTCGGCACAAGATACAGGTCATAAAGACCTTGCTGATAACACAGGTTGCAGTAAAGAAGCCAGCTAAGACCCACCAAAACCAAGATGGCAATGAGAGTGACGTCCTTACTGCTACACTCCCACCAGCACCATGACAGCTTACAAATGCCATGGCAACATTGCGAAGTTATATGGTCTAAAAAGGGGAAGCATGAATAATCCACCCTTGGTTTAGCACATCATCAAGAAATAACCATAAAAATGGGCAACCAGCAGCCCCGAGGGTTGCTGTGTAGTAGCCATTCTTTATTCCTTTACTTTCTTAATAAACTTGCTTTCACTTTACAGACTTACGCTGAAGTCTTTCTCAATTCTCTTGGAATCTAGATCCTTTCCAGTAACAACGTTATCTGTACAAAAAGGCTTTTGGCCAGGTTCGGTGGTTTACGCCTATAATCCCAGCACTTTGGGAGGCCGAGGCGGGTGGATCATTTGAGGTCAGGAGTTCAAGACCATCCTGGCTAACATGGCAAAATCCCCGTCTCTACTAAAATATAAAAAGTAAATGGGCGTGGTGGCGGGTGCCTGTAATCCCAGCTACTTGGGAGGCTAAGACAGGAGAATCACTTGAACCTGGTAGGTGTAGGTTCCAGTGAGCCAGGATCATGCCACTACACTCTGGCCTGGGCAACAGGGCAAGACTTGTCTCAAAAAAAAAAAAAAAAAAAAGGCCAGGCGCGGTGGATCCCAGCACTCTCGGAGGCTGAGGCGGGCGGATCACGAGGTCAAGAGATCAAGACCATGCTGGCTAATGCAGTGAAACCCTGTCTCTACTAAAACTACAAAAAATTAGCCGGGCGTGGTGGCGGGTGCCTGTAGTCCCAGCTACTCGGGAGGCTGAGGCAGGAGAATAGCGTGAACCCGGGAGGCGGAGCTAGCAGTGAGCTGAGATTGCACCACTGCACTCCAGCCTGGGTGACAGAGCGAGACTCCATCTGGAAAAGAAAAAAAAAAAGCTTTAAATGTAACTTTTTAGAGTTTTTCCTGGCTATTTCCAGTTTCTTCCGCCTTTGTATCTTCCCTAGTACATACAATTTCTTCTATGGTGTATGGTTTTCAGGAATTTAACAAGTATGAGAA